GTATTATACTTGAAATTATTTCCATAGCATTATATTAATGAAAAATATGTGGATTATGCATCAAAACAATTCTCGCGCAAACAACGAATATTTGTGTTTAACAAAATTCAATAGCCATACAATTTAATTTGCATCAAATGTTTATTGCGTGAACATATATTTACTTATCTGATTTCTCTAAAATGCTTATCGCTTATTTTCCACGTATACAATTAATCTATAAATGACGAGTGAAACCATTGTGTATTATTGATTTTGTCTGTGCATTGAATATCATACTTTAATAACTTATACGAGAAAAGAAATAAAAAAGTGTTTCGTGGAATTTTATAGACAGAGAGCTGGGACAAAAGTAACGACGCGATGAAAGTAACACTTCCTAACTTCCACAAATATTTTTAAACAATTTCTTTTTCATAGTTACAGAGTTTTGTTCTACTGAGCCATATCGCTTGCGGTGGTTAACTTGAATTGCCAATTCGGATCATTCAAGTTTGTACCATTTCGACCTTCTTCATAGTTAAATTCTTAAACCACTCGTTAGAGCTTTTTTAAATATCTTTATCCCACAGTTAATTTCTATAAATCATGTATAGTAGATTATTCTGTTTTGGAAACGCGGTTGGGAATGAAAGTAACACGCGGAGACGAAAAAATCTGTAAAAACTGTGCGATGGGTGATGTATTATACATGTCATAACTGTAACTGGGAATCGATAAATAAACCACATACGCAATACCAAAGAAATGCTTGAAGCTATACGCGTTCTATTTTCTGTTATTTATATGTGTGGGTATTCATCCTTACTTAAAATATGATATGTTTATTTAAGTGTTTCTTTTTATTGTTTTTTATAATAAAAATCCTATTCTGCGTTAGTGAAAGTATTTTTACTTTATTTGGTACAAAAGCATTGATTTTACTTTCAGGGTTAGGAAAATAATGATAGTAATTATGGGAAAATGCTTTTTGACTACTCATGAAGCTAAAGGGTAAAAGATCAATAATTTTCTTGTGGTATAATTCTTTTGCATAACTTTCTTATGGTATAATTTAGATTTGTATATTTCTGCAAGGGATAAAAATTAGGTTATGTTAGGTTAAGTTGAGTTTCTATATCTTTGAGAGGGGATAAAAATTAGATTAGGTTAGGTTAAGTTGGGTTTCTACATCTCTGAGAGGGGATTAAAATTAGGTTATGTTAGGTTAGGTTGGGTTTCTATATCTTTGAGAGGGGATTAAAAATTAGGCTAAGTTATGTTTCTATATCTTTGAGGGGTGGATAAAAATTAGGTTAGGTTGGGTTTCTATATCTTTGAGAGGGGGTGAAAATTAGGTTAAGTTAATTAGGTTTCAATATCTTTGAAAGGGGATTAAAAATTGGGTTATGTTAGTTTAGGTTTCTATATCTTTGAGAGGAGATTAAAAATTAAGTTAGGTTAGGTTGTTTCTATATCTTTGAAAGTGGATAAAAATTAGGTTAGGTTAGGTTTCAATATCTTTGAGAGGGGATAAAAATTAGGTTAAGTTAGTTAGGTTTCAATATCTTTTAAAGGGGATTAGAAATTGGGTTATATTAGATTTCTATATCTTTGAGAAGGGATTGAAAATTGGGTTATGTTAGTTTAGGTTTCTATATCTTCGAGAGAAGATTGAAAATTAAGATAGGTTAGGTTATGTTTCTATATCTTGGAGAGAGGATAAAAATTAATTTAGGTTAGATTTCTGTATCTTTGAGAGGGGATTGAAAATTAGGTTAGGTTAAGTTAGGTTTCTATAACTTTGAGAGGGAATAAAAATTATGTTACACGTACTTTTGTCCCAGTTCTCCCTTATTTTCCATGGAACACTATTTCAATTAAAAAATTTGATTAACGAATTCAATATCGTTATTTCTGAATTTCAGTACTATTTGTGCATTCAGTAGAAACATAAATCAATATTTTGACGATAATATTAGTGAACTTTATTTAGTTTAGCTATCTAGTTAATAGCAAACTATAGATTAATTTATGTCAACAATGAATTTGAGTGCATGTTTTTAAATTTATAAATACTTCCACTTTTATAGAACATAATATTCACTTGAACCTATTTCCATGATTTTGAACTTAATTTTATTTCACTTAAAGGTTAGGTTAGGTTTTACTTAATGCTATAAACCTTCATAATTAATTTAAATATACTTCGAAACAATTTTCACTTACACCTATTCTACGTAACCTTCATAAATACACAAGATGCATATAAATACGCATAAACATTTCCGTAAAATGGCAGGTTAAACCTAATATTTGTATAACTAACGTTACACTGACTAATCTATGCATAGAAAACTTGTGCATGAATGAAATGAAATCTGAAATCTACACAGAGAGTTTTAGAAAAGTACTACGTCGAGGAAATATGAAGAAGAGAACGAGAAGAATAAAAATCAATTAACGCCTAGCCAATAAAACATCCTAATGGAAATGAAATGAGAATTCCTTGAATTTTTTTTTAGGTCGACGATTCAATTACAGAGTCATGAATGTCAGGAATATTTTACATCGTAATTAAGTATGTGAAGTAAGAATTATTTGAGAAAAGAGAGACAGAAAAAGAGAACTAATCTCGTTGTAATCTAACAATGTAGAATCCTTTTGAAGAGAGTAATTTCGTTCCACTAGTTCCATTTGCAATTAACACACTTTTAATAGCGTTATCGTTTCACGTAATCTACTATCAAAGCTACCGCTATTTTTAATGGATTTTAAGCTGTTTCAAAGGCAATATATATTTACAGTAGGCAGATCCGATTCAATCACGTTTATCTGTTTGTTTAGCGGTAAGTTCTATAGAATCTGAATATCATCGATCGAATTTTATTAATTCGATAATGTTAACTGAGTTTTATTCGTCTGGTGAAGGCTATCGAGCTTTATTAATTCCGTAACGGTGATCGAATACCGATTTTATGGAAATTGTAAAAAATGAAATTACCGTGAAGCAGCTTAAAAAGAAGCACATGCTACTTTTCAACTGAAAGGATGTGCAGGTTTGTTCGCTTTGCACCTTCGTGATTATTTATTGATATATTTATTAAGAAATATGCGCGTACAGAATGTTTTGTGGAGAGGTTTTTACATAGATTAAAAGGCAATAAATAAAAGGAATAGATATTTTAACATTTACTATCTTATGTTTAATATATTCGGGTATAACAAAAACTTAGAAATTCAGAAATTCAAAAATTCAGATATTTAGAAACTTGTGCGCTCCGAAATTGGGAAATTCAGAGATTCAGAAATTTGGGATTTTAGAATTTGCAAAATTGGAAAATACGAAACTTCAAAATTAAAAATTGAGAGAATTGATTAATTTGAAAATTAAGAATTGATTCAAAGATTCTAAAACTGAAAAGTGCAAATGAGAAAATTGGAAAATAAGAAGTTGAAAATTGGAAAATTGGAAATGGAGAAATTGGGAAACTTGGAAATGGAGAAATAGGAAATTATAAAATTGCAAAATTAGAAAATTGGAAAATTGGAAAATAGCAAGTTGGAAAATTGAAAATGGAAAAATTGGGAAACTTGGAAATGGAGAAATAGGAAACTGGAAAATTTGCAAAATGGAAAAATTGGAACTGGAAAAGTTGACAAAATTGGAAATTATGAAATAGAAAGTTGAAAAATTGGGAAATTGAAACGGAAAATTGGAAATTGAGAAATAGAAAGTTGGAAAATTGGGAAAGTGGGAAATAAGAAAATTGGTAATGTAAAAATTGGAAAAGGGAAATTTGGAAGTTGGAAAATTGAAATAGTCGAAATTGGAAAATAAAAAATCAGCAAATTAGAAAGTGGTAAATTTAGATATTTTGAAATTCACAAATTTACACAGGAATTTACAAAGCTACCAATTTACGAATATACAAATTTAAAACTTAGAAATACATTATTATAAAAATTAGAACATTTGGAAACTCATATATTTTAAAAATTTTCAAATTCTAACCTTCGTAAATTAAATTTGGATTTAACCTCCGTAAAATTTGCTAACTGTCAATTTAGAAATGAAAAAATTTAAAAGCATAACTATTATTTAAAAGTTCAATTACTGAAAATTTAATAAACTCAAAAATTTTTAAATTTGTCTGCTAAAAAGTTTGCCTCCACTCGATACCCGCATTCCACAGTCATCCTTACCGGAATCACAACCCTGAAAAATGCAAATGCCTTTTATTCCTTCAGAATCGCATATTTTTTGCCCATATCGTAACCATTTAGCCCACCATAGACGCTAGTTACCTTGCTATCCAATTTGAAGTAAATGTAAACTAAAAAGAAAGTAAAATCCCTCGACTCTCCCCTATCCCGAAAAAACACTCTGTACGCTCTAAAGACAGCCGAAAGGTAGGTTGTGAGCGAACAAACCCAGCACTCTACTATACCTAAAACAGTCGAACGTGATCCCGTACACGTTGCACGAAACAATATGCACGAGTTTCTCGCAAGCTATCGTCCGCTATTCTGCAGGCTACGCTATCTGTCGTTCGTTTCCTCCTTTCATTTCGCGTTCGTTTTTTTTCCGCGTCTCGTTACCGAGGAGTCTCTTCCGGCCGAGAAGGTCGAAAGCAAGGAGAAGAAGAAGAAGAAGAAGAAGAATAAGGGAACGGCTGTAGAAGGAAGAGAAAACTACGCGGAACTGAAGGTTCGCGACTGGCACGTTCGTGTGCAACGCTTCTATCGGCTGATGGGTGAAAATGGATGTCGTACAGAAAGTGAGAGAAAGATAGAGATAGAGAGAGAAAGAGAGATGCTTGGTGATGGTTGGCGGCTGCTGCGGTGGTTTTTCTTTTTCATAGCTGGCTGTGGTGCAGTTAAATGCAGTGCTGTGAGGTGCAGGCACACGCGCATATAAGTAGTGCAGTAGTAGTAGTAATAGTAGTAGTGATGGTGGTAGTAGTAGTAGATAAGGTAGTCCATTACAGGCGGACACAGGTTAATGGTAAAATAGTTACCCGGGCCTTGGCGCCGCCAGAGTGATCTCTGCTCGCGGAGGAGGAAGGACTCACCCGGTATCCACCGAGGTTGTTCACCACGCAGGTGAAGGTTGCGTCTCGACCCTGCGGGATCGTTACATTCTGCAGCGGAATAACGAAGTCTGGCTCTAACCCCGTCACTGGAACAATCAAACAATCAATTATAAGTTAATAGCAAAACAATTTCATGCAAATTCATTATTAACATCTTAACATTTTAACTGCCACATATGGGTGACGCCTAATCTTCCATACGAATGTGTCATCTATATTATTAAATCAAAATTTTGTTTGCTAGCGAAAAATATTTATTTGTTAAAGAAATTTTAAATCAACAAAATAATTTCCATCACTTTCTAACGCTTTTTGCCAGCGTAAAGGCAATTGTTCCCTTCTTAAAAAAAGTCCTTCGGTTTTTCATAAAAAAACTTTAAAATCATCGAAGAATTTTGATATATACGAAAAAGACGCATCAAAGACGTGATATACTGACCAGGCCAAACATAAACAAGACGATTTTATTGTAATTTATGGCACGCATAGTTGGAAATTAAATCGTAAGGCAAGAGGTTAAGAATGTCTACTAACCTAATTGGAAATGTTCGTATTAACTATTTGAAACTATGAATAATAAGTATAATTAAATATTGTGAGAATTTTTAGTGAGATTTGTTAGAAAGAAATATACTATTTAATATAATTTTCAACTGCTTTTGTGTGGCAGTCAACGTATTAACTAATATAGCGGATTTCTTTATACGACTATACTTCACGATATTTCACGAGTGATATTTAGTGAATATCGTCGTAGATACGTAGTTTCTCTTCAAATAGTGTACGCATGTCCTGAAGCTGAACGCTGGATATACGTAATAAGATTGATAAGTTTCTGAATTTACTGCACTTAACCCTTTGAGTGAATGTATGTGAGACTAATTTAAAAAGAAACGTCTTCATTCGAGACTTACTGTGGAACAGAAGACGCAAAATTAAAGTTTGAATGGAAATCGGTTGGTGAATGAAGGTGAAATAGAAAAATGATTTATGAAGTGCTTGTACTACGATTTATTTATCAGGGGCGGTCAGAACTAACTTATCATGGCTATGATATTAATCTTTAAGCGCTACTGTAGTGGCTTTTATGGATACCATCTCTAAACCTAACCTAATAATTTCTATACGACAGTACATTATAGTGACTTTAAAATGTCATGGTAGATTACATAGTGCCAGTATAGTGGCATTCTTACATCCCCAAGTCTCTATTATACATCCTCATATCTTTACATTTCCAAATCCCCATATTGTAAATATTAAAGATTCTAAAATTGGATAGTGGAAATGAGAAAATTGGGAAATTGGAAAATAGCTCATGGGAAAAATTGGAAAATAAAAAAATTGGAAAATGGGAAATTTGGGAAATTTGGAAAATAGAAAATTGGAAAATTGGAAAATTTCCTAATTGCTATATTCCCAAATCCTTAGGTTCCCATATTCACACATCCTGGATTCCATGCATCTTCAAATCCCCATATCATCAAATCTCTACAACATCAAATTCCTACGTCCTCAAATCTCCATACCCTCAAATCGCAAAATTCCCAAATCCCTAGGTTGCTAAATTTATAAATCCTGAAATTCTTACGTCTCCAAATCCCTATATCCCCAAATCTCTACACTCTCAAATCGCTACAACCCTGAATTCCTACATCCACAAGTCTCTATATCCCCAAATCTTTACATTCCCAAATCTCTACACTCCGGAATTCCTACATCCCTAAATCTCTACATCCCCAAATCTCTACATCCCCAATTGCTTAAAGTCTCAAATTCCTAACTCCTGAAATCCCCAAATTTCTATTAACCTCTATACACGCCACTATAGTGACTTGGGGTACCATCTCTCTGTACGACGGTCCATTACAGCGGCTTTCGAATGTCATCGTAGATTACATATTTTGTGAATTTTCCAAAAAGTAAATTATCAAGGTTAAAGTACATGTATCATATCTTTGAAAAAAATTATAATTTAATCATCACAAACTTAAAAGTTATTAGTATTGTTAAAAATATATTATCACTATTAGTATAATTCATTACGTAACTCAATTGATTTAGAATTGTAAATGAGTACATAGGTAAATAATATTATAAAGAATGCCTATGGTGCAGTTTTGCAATTTTCATAACAAAAATTGATTTACAAAATTGATCCATTATGAAATTAATAAAAATATCATAACTGTTATCGTTATATTCCTTCTGAAACATGGACTTTCAAACAGTTGATATATTTTTTTTTATTACTATTCTCATGTTATTTTCTCGCAAATTCCGAAATCATTGATTAAATACATACCAATTTAACATTCTACGAGGAAAAATTGTAGCAATAAAAAAGAGAAGCGATAAAATGCTCTCACGAACCTAATAGTAATTAAGGGTGCAAGGGGATGATAGTGTACATAGAAGAAGGCTCCAAAGGGGTGTGTAATTTGCAGGCTCCTTAAAAGAATGTTATCTCTAAAGCAAGCAACGTCGAAAAGTTTTAGCACCGTGCACTTCGGATGCTTTATCTTTGCTGGTACAGAGCACCACTGAAAATTCTGCTCTCATGATTTTCATTTTACCTAGCTCCTTAAGGAAAATCCTGCTTCCTCTTTCCCGAAACGTTCTTTTTTCTCCCTAGAAGGTAACTTTTAGCTGGTAATGGTTCGAACGTTTCGGAAAATAAGGATTCATGCGCGATAACGAGTCACTGAAATTTATTTTATTATTAACGTTGATACGGTTACGCTTTGAACAATCAGAAATCGTAGTATGAAAATGGCGGGGTATGAAAATGGAAAATTTAAGGGTTTGTAAGAAGCCCCAATGAAAGCTCTTAAGAACTGCGCTTCGTGGAAAAGTTATTATAATTTCCAAAGGAACAAGATAACCGCTTGCACAATTAACGTTCAAAATGAATGAAATACATTATAATGAACGCAAAGATAGCCTTAATTATTCCTTCTATTATCTTTGAGATGTATATATTATTACAGTGTATACAATTAAAAGAATAGAATATAAATAAACAAAAATCAGAAAGTAATTTTTGATACTTTTGAAGGTTCAACAATTTTTGTAGTCTGCTTCACTCTTTATTTATTTTAATTGCTTCTTGTCTTAATTTCTCATTTACTTACTCATTTACATTTAATTTTCTCCATAAAATGGAAGTAAATTATTTAGAAATTTAATAAGTGTTTTAATAAATTTTACAGAAATTCAACATTTTTCTTGCAATAATTTTCATTTCAGTATTCAATTCCTTTAACTGAGACAATCTGAATGAACTCTTTTTTTTTTAATGAATACGATAAACAAGTAATAGCAATGATAGTTTCATTACCCTTCTGATAGATACTAAATATATACAATATTAATTAAAAATATAGTTCAACGTTTCCAACCAGAAAAATATAAAAAATTGTAAAAAGCTTCTTTTCAGGAAAAATAATCTACTGTTCAGTAATATGTAAAAAATGATAAGTCCGTATCGCTCAGCAACGCGTAAAAAAGTTAGACATGTATAACAGAGAAGTACTACAATGAAAAATCAGCGAAACATATATTCAGCAGTGAAACAGAATTACTAGGTTTTCAACAAACGTGTAATTTGGTCAGTAAAAGTCGGATGAATAATTTACTTTCCACTTGTTCGTCGATCAAACTGTTTTCCGAAATTACTGACACGAAAAATGTGGTTTCCAGCCAATGAACGCAATCGTATGTTCCATAATTGTTAATCCACAATATTGTACAATATGTGGGCCAACGATTTCTGGGAATACATTTTATATCTGGGTACAAATTCGATAACGAGGAAGAAAATACTGGATAATGAAAGTTAAACCAATCGATACTAATGTATTGATGTTTACAAGTGTATTAGTTATATGTTCTTATGGATACTTTATGCTGTATGTGCAACTCATCATAGTATGCTTACTTTGTAGTATATTTCATAGTATACTTCATTGTATAGTTCGTAGTATAGTTCATAGTATACTTCAAAGTATACTTCATAGCATACTTCATAACATACTTCATAGATTCAGGAAAAATAATCTACTGTTCAGTAATATGTAAAAAATGATAAGTCCGTATCGCTCAGCAACGCGTAAAAAAGTTAGACATGTATAACAGAGAAGTACTACAATGAAAAATCAGCGAAACATATATTCAGCAGTGAAACAGAATTACTAGGTTTTCAACAAACGTGTAATTTGGTCAGTAAAAGTCGGATGAATAATTTACTTTCCACTTGTTCGTCGATCAAACTGTTTTCCGAAATTACTGACACGAAAAATGTGGTTTCCAGCCAATGAACGCAATCGTATGTTCCATAATTGTTAATCCACAATATTGTACAATATGTGGGCCAACGATTTCTGGGAATACATTTTATATCTGGGTACAAATTCGATAACGAGGAAGAAAATACTGGATAATGAAAGTTAAACCAATCGATACTAATGTATTGATGTTTACAAGTGTATTAGTTATATGTTCTTATGGATACTTTATGCTGTATGTGCAACTCATCATAGTATGCTTACTTTGTAGTATATTTCATAGTATACTTCATTGTATAGTTCGTAGTATAGTTCATAGTATACTTCAAAGTATACTTCATAGCATACTTCATAACATACTTCATAGAATACTTCATAGTATACTTCATAGTATACCTCATAATATACTTCATAGTATAGTTCATAGCATACTTCATAGTATACTTCATAGTATACCTCATAATATACTTCATAGTATAGTTCATAGCATACTTCATAGTATACTTCATAGTATACCTCATAATATACTTCATAGTATAGTTCATAGCATACTTCATAGTATACTTCATAGTATACCTCATAATATACTTCATAGTATAGTTCATAGCATACTTCATAGTATACTTCATAGTATACCTCATAATATACTTCATAGTATAGTTCATAGCATACTTCATAGTATACTTCATAGTATACCTCATAATATACTTCATAGTATAGTTCATAGCATACTTCATAGTATACTTCATAGTATACCTCATAATATACTTCATAGTATAGTTCATAGCATACTTCATAGT